TCAAAAAAAAAAAAAAAAAAAAAGTTTCAATCCGAATCTTCTTTTCTATGATTCCAAACATATCGATAAATGCAACTATAGAATCAAAAAAAAAATTAAATTATGTGGAAATAATTATAACTCAAGGATAATTGATATAAAGGGGTATGTTTTTGGAAGCAATAGTATAGAATTTGGTATTAAAAAGAAAAAAAAGCGAAAAACAATTGCTTTATTGTGCAATATATATATATATATTAAAGCTCTTCTCCTCTTCTTTGCACTCCCAAAAGCTCTCTCTCACTCTCATATGTCACCAAATCAAAAGCTGTTTCTTTATCCCTTTCCCACTTACTAAAAAGACTCACACTTCCATCCCTTTGCTTTTCTTTTGTTTTGTTTTTGGATTGTTGGGAAATCCAAAAGAACGAGAAAAGAAAGAGAATGATCCAAGAACTATTTGGTGTTTCAGGGCTTTTGGCTGCACCACCTGGAGACCCCAAAATCTCCCCCAAAATCTCCATCAATGCTTCAATTCTAGATTCTTCCCCTTCCACTTCCCTCTCTGCACCCACCTCCACCACAAACACGGCCACACCCACGCCAACACCCACCTCAAATTCGGAAGCCCAAAACTTGCGGTGCCCCAGATGCGAGTCTTCCAACACCAAATTCTGTTACTACAATAACTATAACCTCACTCAACCTCGCCACTTTTGCAAAACATGTCGACGTTATTGGACTAAAGGTGGGGCCCTCAGGAATGTTCCTATTGGTGGTGGCTGTCGGAAGAACAGGACCGCGGCAGCTACGGTGGTGAAATCGGCTGCTGCCAAGATGAAAACGGTGTCGTCTGACATATTTGGTCGGGTTGGTTTTGGAAATGGGTCGGCGTTGGATCCACAAGTAATATCGCCGACGCAAATTCTTTGGGGGTCGCCGCAAAATTCACATCTTTTGGCCGTTTTGAGATCCGCTACCCAAAATCAAAACCCTAACCCTAAGAGTCTCGCTAGATCCCACGTCATCAACGACCCACCGCCCGCGTCGGCTACTACCACGACGACGACGCCGTTTCATGCTAGGACGATGGGGTTTGATCCGGTGAACCATATTTCTTCTCTGGGGCTGTGCAGCTCTTACTGGAGGAACAATCACACCCAAGTTCTTCACCAACAAAATGGACATATCCATGGCAGCGGGGATCACGTTTCCGGCGCCAGCACTGGGATTCAGGAGCTGTACACGAAGCTTAAGTCATCGTCGAGCAATTATTTCATGGATGGTCAGCAGGGATCAGTGGGGGTGACGAGTGTAGGTACGGCGGCGATTTTGGAGACGGCTCCGGTGGGAGGCGGCGAAACGGCGGCAGGTTACTGGAACCCAACTTTTTCTTGGTCTGATGTTCATGCTAGTGCTAATGGAGCATATCCTTAATCAAAAAGAAAGACTGTGTTTTGTTTCCCCTGATTTGGCCATTTCTCTTTCCCCATATTAGGATTTGCTTTTTTTTTTTTTTTTTTTTTTTTTTTTTTTTTTTTTTTTTTTTTTTTT